TATCTGTCTATCTCATATATATTCGTTGATCTATCTATCTATCCGGTTATTATGCATGTTTAGACTGATAGATATGTATGTATTTCTAAATATATGAAAGTTCGTATAATGAATATTGATTGGCTCAGGCTTCGCACAATTTTAACAAACCTGTCACTACTATTTTCAGCGTTGTAATTAAAATTACTATTATTGTTTATTATTATTATTATTGTTATCGTTATCATTATTATTATCTTTATTATTATCATTACTATTATTGCTATCACTATCATCATTATTATATTTATTGATATTATCAATGCTGTTATTATTATCATTATATTTAATCGGTATCGTTATCATTGCCATTATCACTTTCATTATCGTTATTATTATTATTATCATTCTTATTATTGTAATTATTATTATAATCATCATTACTACTACTTCTACTACTACTACTGTTACTATTATGATTATTATTATTGTTATTATGATCATTATTATTATTATTATTTCATTATTATTATTATTATTATTATTATCATTATTATAATTATTATAATTGAAATTGTTATTGTTACCATTATCGTTATTATTATTTATTTCTATTATTATTATCATCAATATCAATATCATTACAGTTATTAGTATCATTAATATTATTATCACTATCATTATTATAATTGTTATTGTTCTTATTGTTTCTTCATTGTTATTATTATCATTATTATTATGATTATCATTATTATCAATTTATATTTATTAGTATCATTATCATTATAATATTATTTTCAGTATCATTATATTGTTATTGTTATTATTGTTTATTATCATTGTCATTATCATTATCATTTTCATCATCATTATTATTTTCATCAACAATACTATCAATGTTATTATTATTGATAATATTGATATAATCATCATTATCATTACTGTTATCCCTTTTGTTATTATCATTATTATCATAATCCTAATTTTTATTATTTTCATAATCATTTATTATTATGCTGTAATCATTTTGTCATTCATTATGTACACACACACACATATATATATGTGTGAGTGCGCGTACATATAAATATATTCACACACACACACACACACATGTGTATATATTATATATATATATATATATATATATATATATATATATATGAGAGAGAGAGAGAGAGAGAGAGAGAGAGAGAGAGAGAGAGAGAGAGAGAGAGAGAGAGAGTGCGCGGGGGCTTTAAAAAAGTTCGTGGAAAAAGGATAGTATGAAAAAAAATATTCAGTTATCATGTTTATTTTTCAATATATGCTCCATTGCGGTCGATACACTTCTGCAAATCACCTTTGCAAACATCAGCTATTTAGTCCGTCTGAGTAGAAATGAGGGTCTTGTAATCTGAACCATGTCAGAACAGCTCTTTTTACATCTTCAGCTGACGGAAAATTGGTACCTTTCAATGATTTTTTTCAGCTTTGGGAACAAGAAAGAAGTCGGATGGGGCTAAATCAAGGTTGTAAGAGGGGATGTCGGATGATTTCCCATCGAAATTCACGGCTCCTGTTTGCGGAGCACCGTGAGCGGGTGCATTGTCGTGATGGAAAAGGGCGCCATGATGCAGCTTTCCAGGGCGTTTTTCCGAGATTTTGGAGGGGCAGTTTTCTCAAACCGCCTTCACAATAAGCAGAGGAAGTAAACTTGCAAAATCTCCTTTGCATCCCAGAAGAGAGTGGCCATGACCGTTCCTCTTGAACGCTCAGATTTTGCTTTCACTGGCCCAGTCCCATCCCGGGGCAGCCACTGCTTTGATTGAATTTTGTCCTCGCGATCGTACTGGTAAAGCCTTGTTTCATCCCCTGTCGCAATTCTTCGCAGAAAAGATTCAGAGTCCCCATCCCACTTGTTCAAAAATTCCACTGAAAGATCTGTCCTAGGGACCCATCTAGCGGAAAACTTGCTCAGTCTCAAACTCTCCATAAGAATTGTGGGTGACGAACCCACGGAGTGGTTATTGGTCTATCCTTTTCAATCAAACAGCATCAACGTTTTCCTCACAAACTGACATTGTTGGTCTGCGACTACGGGGCTCATCTTCAAGTTTGTTTGTTTTTTCCACTTCTAAAGCGTCTTATCCATTTGTGGGTTGTTGACTTCTGTGGGGCATTATCACCATAAACTTGTTTCAGAGCGTCAATGATATGCCTATTCTCCCAACCAATTTTCATCATGAACTTTGTTTATTCTGGTCTCGATTTTGGTTGATTCTATGTTGCTTGAGTGGTGCCTGACTGTCAACTGGCGGCGATGCGTTCTTACCTGCATTCAAGGGTTCATGTTCGAACGTTATAACACGTTGGTACAAGAATGTTCAGGTGCGTTGAAATCAGAATCCATCCAAACAATTTTTAGTTATGCATACACACACACACACAACACACACACCACACACACACACACACACACACACACACACACACACACACACAAACATGGGTGTTGTGTGTTTTCTTGTATTGAAGCGTTTGAAGATATATGTTTGTGCAATGATATTCATTTGTCGCAATAACATAATTTGGTGTAATAGATATATGATAACAGCGGTTAGGAATTATTTGGTATATAATGCAATTTGCTAAATGTATTTCCGTTTTATTTTTTATCATATTTAGGAACAAGAAAAAAAATATATTGTTTTTGTTTGTGTTATTCAGGATATTAGAATTAGGGATTTTATTCTTGCTATGAAATCGAGTAATGTTGACAGACTGTAAACATTTCGTTATGAATATGAAATTTATGTTTTGAAGTCAGATTGAACTTGAGGAGAGAGAATGCCACTTTTTTGACGGGGAGGACAGTTCTGCTAATAGTCGAAGCTCAATCTGCGAAGGACACGGAGGACTGGTCAGCACCTCACGACGCCTTTTGTTCTCCATGGAGATGTTTTTAATATTTTCTGTTTGGAGATGGCCTGTTGCCAAAAAACGTTATATTACGAGATATGCTTGGGTGAGTCAGTCCAACATGTACTGCTCGCTGTGAACTGGTACTCAATATACATATACATATATGTACTATTAATGTAATCAGTAATATAATGAAAAAGGAATATACAATCTCTGTCCTCTCTTTATAAATATATACAGACGAGAGAAGAAGAGAAGAAATGAGAGGGGGGGGGCAGAGGGGAACATCTTATCAGGCTTCATAAAGAAAGAGGTTTGAATCTTGCGAATATTGTAAATGCGATTTATAGCTATGCGTTATTTATTTCTCAATTGCGATTAAATGATGTGAACAGAAATGCCATATGGATTTTAGTTAGGCTTCCTTATGTCTCATTTCTTCGAAGAAGAAAAAGATTTATGGTTTGAATACTTATGGAACTGACATTTGCTTGATATATATACGAAGTATATATCTTATCAGATTCTTATACTCTGAATATCGAAAAGTTTTCTTAATTCCTGTATTGTAAGCAGATTCCGATATCCTAACGGGAATATTAAGAAAGGCATGAAGAGCGTCTATAAAAAGTAAATGAATATATATATATATATATATATAATATATATATATATATATATATTCTATATACTATATATATATATATATGTATGTAATGTATATATGTGTATATATATATATATATATATATATATAATACTATATAATATATATATATGTATGCTTAATATGTATATATAAGTATTATACATATATATATAATATATATACATATATATATATATATTATATATATATATATATATATATATAATTTATGTGTTGTGTTGTGTGGTGTGTGTGTCGCCTGTGTGTGTGTGTGTGTTGTGTGTGTGCGCGTACACATATATACATTTAAATAGACAGAAACACACAACAACACATATGTTTATACCGACACAGACACAGTCACAACTTGCACTCCACAGCATATTCTTATAAAAACCATTAACTTGTAATTGTAAGACTGATTGGAAAAAAGTTTTCAATACAATCCCTGGTGGAATATTTCGAACGCCAATGAAGGGCGCCTTACAAAAAGGAAAAAAGGAAAGAAATGAAAAGAAAGGAAAAAGAAAAGAAGAAGAAAAGAAAAAACCTGAAATAATAAACATATATCGGCAAGATCCAAAAACCGTCGGCGGAAATAAAGCGATGAAGAAGATAGTGAAATCCGCCGATCAAGCAGCGAAATACTTTCCTCCCGTGACGGATATTGGTGAGGAAAGTTTTCGAAAATGCGCGCCATTTTAGCTCCTACACAGCGGGATACGGGCGCAGAAATTTTCCCATGGCTGCACTCATGACTTTCGCTTTTCGTTTGTTTTCCCCTGGCGGTGGATGGAGATGGAAGGACGACAGGATGGAATTAAATTTCACCGATAGATACTCGTATTCAATTATTTAAAACTTTTTGGGTATTCTTGCAAATTTCTAAGAATACATAATCCAGACATCCACACACACACACAACACCCATATATTTATTATAGGTATAAATTAATTATATATAATATATATATATATATATATATATATATATATATATATCTATATTCACTATATAATATATATATGATGCCGACTGTAGACGCTCACTGCCACTATGTTGTTGCCATGAAATCGCCTTGGTTTGGGCTTTCTAGTAGTCGAAGTTTGCTCTTTTTTGTCTCAAAAAAGTAAACCTGGAAAGGGATCCAAAATCAGCCACATTGTTGAGTTAAATTTTGTTCTCGTAACTCCTGTGACCAGCGGCAGTGCCAAGATGATATGGATTTTTTTGCCCTGCCACTGGGTTCCGTCAAGTTGCAACGGAAGAGGGGAGCAATGTCTGCATGGACAACACACGCCTTTCCTATCACCGTGTCCCGCAGGCCCTGGTCCCCGCAGAGGCACTCCGACGCCGCGCCCCCGACACGAAATAAAAAGAATTACCAGCTATAAGCCTCTGTCTCGCCGAGCTTAACAGCGATTAGTGAGAGATATTGTTTCGCGCCAATCGAATTGTGTCTCTTTCATGGCCATTCGTGTTCAAAAGGGTCCCATAAAAGGTAAATCATTACCATGAATGCATATAATATATATATATTACTATATATATATATAAATATAATTTAAATATAATATATAATATATATATATACTGTATATATATATTGTATGATAATAATATATATATATAATATTAAATATATATATATATATATAATATATATATCATATATATATATAATATACTATAATTATAATATACTATATATATATATATATATATATATAATATTAATATGTGTGTGTGTGTGTGTGTGTGTGTGTGTGTGTGTGTGATGGTATATATATATAATATATATATATTAATATATATAATTATATATAATATATATACATATATATACATAAGATATATATGTGTGTGTGGTGTGTGGTGTGTGGTGTGTGTGGTGCATATATATTTATAAGTATATATATATATATATATATATATAATATATATACATATATATCTATACTATATAAATATATATATATATATATATATATATATATACAGTATATAATATAATATAATATATATATTACTATCCATATATATATACATATATAATAATGATATACCCTAATATATTATTATATACTATATACTATACTATACATATATATATATAATAATAATATATATTATTATATATATATATATACATATATATATAATAATATAAGTTGGTGTGTGTGTGGTGGATGTGGTGTGTGTGTTGTGTTGTTGCATTATATTTATAATATTCATATTATAATCTACTATATATATATCATTAATATATTATGTAATAAATATACTAGTATGTATATATGATAATATATATATTATATATTATATATATATATACTATATATATTATTATATATATATCAATCTTATACATGTATAGTGTGTGTGTGTCCGTTGTGTGTGCATTATATATATAATATAAATATATAAATATACCTACTAATATATATATTATATATATAATATGTTAATATATATATATGTATATATATATATATATATACTAACTAATATATATACTATATATAATAAATATATACAGTATAATATATATAGCCAAATTATGTTGAGGTGTGTTGTGTGTGTGTGTACATATAATCATATAATATATATATATTAACTACTT